TGTATTTTCTGTCTTAAAATATCTAACAACATACATTTATTTTCCATGTATGTGTGGGATTAGAATAGCAATGATGAATTAGCTTTAATCACGTTGTAATTATATAAGAAATATGGTGTTAGTAATGTTGGAGAAATACAAGTATTGGACTGATGTTAATGGTCTTATAGGAGTGGCCATTATACTTGATCTTAGGTTTAAGTTAAAATTGATTCGTTTCTATTTTGGTAAAATTTATAATGGGTTTAGTGTCTAAGCTAAGATTGATAAAATTGAATGTCTTCTACGTAAATTGGTGGGTATGGATATAGACATTATAAGAACCAAGCTAGCAAGAGCAAAACAAAATATGTTGGTTTTTCAATATGGAGTAAAAAACAATGTTGAACGAGTTTTGATGAATATGTAGAGCAAGATAATGATGAAATTTAAAAATAATGATTTGGACAAGTATTTGGAAACTACTAACATATCAATTGTTGATGATTTTGATATTCTTGATTGGTGGAAAACAAATGGAAATAGTTATCCAACTTTCCAACGAGTAGAAAGGATATTTTGAGCATTCATATCTTCACCATCCCATCAAAATCTGCATTCAGCACATATGAAAGAGTAATTTATCCTTATCTTAGTCGACTACTTCTGGAAACAATTGAAGCATTAATATGTATTCATAATTGGTTTTAGGCCGATAGTAAAGGTAAAATTAATTTTTAGTCTTTGTTAATATGTGAAATTGTGCTTAATTATCTTATTAAAATTTAATTACTAACTTATATTAGTCTTGCCTTTTATTATATATATATATATATATATGTAGGTACCGATGAGTTTAAAATGGAGCGCTCTTAATTGGAAGATATAGAGAATGATGATTGGAATGCTGGAGTAATCGATGTGATAAATATTGTCTGAAATCTGATAATGTTGTGCCATAGAACAAAAATATTATGTGTTTGTTGTTTATATTTCTAAACTTTAATTATATCTTTTATTATGGTGTATTATGTATTAAGACCTTGGTTTATTTTAAAATCTATGTTAATGCTTAACTCAATTAATCATTGGTTTATTTTATTATGCTTCTTAAAGGAAGTGTTTATTTTATGTTTTGTTGCTAATGTAATCTGTGAGGCTGCTGACAGATAAATATAGACCGGTATATGCGGGTATAAGATGAGTGGTAGGTATCTAATTGGGTAATGTGTGTGAGGATAGATTTGAGAATATACTCGCGTGGGTAGGTGTGGATTTAAAAAATTTTACATATCATGAATAGTGGATAGGTAATGGATATGAAACTATTAGGTGGATATGAAAATGAAAAAAGATGTATCCACATCCGTCCTACCCGTTTATCATCCCTAATTGTATCACAAGTAACCATTCTTGGTATAAATTTGATTATCAGAAAGTGCTTTAAAATGGAATCTAACACCTTTCTTCAAATCTCTGTCTAAGATTTTTATTCTGTTTTAGCTCTGGAGTAATGTTGTATTAAGCTGGAGAAAAGACATTTAAGATTAGACCAATTTTGATAAAAGTAATTTTTGCTAATTACCCAAAATATTCAAGAGCCACTAACAATGCCTAAAACTGTGGGCTAAATATTGATTAAATGAGAGAAATAAATGTTATTAGCATAAGAACACAGGGTTATTGACGTGTTAATATGCATTTAATTTGTTTTGAATATATATTTACGTATTACTAATATAATACCAACTATTAATTGGTCTTGTGGGTTTAGACACTAAATCTTTTAATTAAGGAAAGATGTTTAAATCTTAATGATTATGAATTTAGTAAATTGAGTTGAAAATATTACTCTTGTCTCTGTATTATTCAATTCAAATTTAATCGATTAATGAATTAAATATAAATGATTGTACCCAAAAAAAATATAACAAATACTTTTTTTTTTACTTTTTGTCAACAACTGTTAACTTAATTTGTCTTTATATATCTGTTGCTAATATAAATAAAAGATACAAATCTTTATGATTATATGTTCAAATGTATGTCTCTTTTCACTTTGCATTTACATACCAAATAATATATAAGATATTTAAATCTCGATTGACTAATGATATGATTTTTTAATATTGAAAAATAGGTGGGTGGAGGCGACCCTAATTTAAGGTAAAAGCATATTATTGGTGTCCTATATCTAAAAGGGATACTTACAAATAAGAGTGAGCATTTGATTGATTAGAATTGACATAATTGAAAAAAAATTAAATAGACGAATCTTATTTTATAAATTAAACTCGATTTGAATTTTTAAAATTCAAATCGAGTTTATAATGTTCGAGTCAAATTATTTGAATTTTACTCAATTATTTAGATTATAGATATATGGTCTTAAAACCCCAACTTTGGCCAATATATAAAAGACAATGCAGAATCATATTTGGTATCAGTCCTTATATATATTTATTCCAGCTGCTTAGTTTTATTGGCTGTGACAACATTGAATGAAGTAATAGTACTGTACAATACAAGCTCATCATCAATAATACATGTTAACAGTCTCACCTTCATTTCTAATAGTTATGCTCAATCATACAACCTAACAGTAAACATCATCAGTAATAGATTTAGAAATATTTTTAGGGTGGACACACGTATATTAATCAAATAAAATTACGGGATGAGTACAGATAAAATTTTAGGATTGACAGAATCATTAAAATAAATAATTATTTAAAGAAAATTCAGATTTTAGAATGGACAAGTACTCACCCTTAATCCTTAATGGATCCGCCACTGTACATCACAATTTCTCAAACTTCAAAATCTCGGTCTTAATCACCATTAACATCTACATATATGTGTTAATGTTTTCAAAGATGGATCGAAATAGAGTAGATGGAGACAGTAGTCCCATGAAAAATTTCAAATTATCATATATTTTAAATATTTTCTTTATATTTTTTATTGATAATTTGTTTTCATTCTGTACAATTTTTTAAATTCTTCACCTTTTTAGTATTTTAAAAATTCGTCATTTAACATAAAACCTTACATTAACCTCTTATTATATTTAAAATAAGATGACTTAAACAATCCAGTAATTGGTTCATATTTAGGTAATTGGTGAATTGAAAATGCTTTCATTTTCAAAGACTTTTCAACTATACATAACACTGATAAAACTTTAGGTTTAAAGCAGATATTGATCTGATTGATTCAACGTATATAAAAATGTACCCTCTATATGCCTAGCATCAATTATATATAGGGCAAACTACGAGTTTAGTATCTAAACTATCAGTTTTGATCTGTTTCAGTACTTAAACTTTTATTTTTTTTCAAAATTATACCTAACGTTTAGCTTTTGTTTCATTTTAGTATCACATCATTAAAAAATTAACGCGTTTAGTGCCTACATTGTCAGTTTTGATTTGTTTTAGTACATAAAGTCTCAAATTTTTAATAATTGAAAGTTTAAATACTAAAACAGATAAAAACTGACAGTTTAGGTACTAAACGCATAGTTTACCCTTATATATATTAAATATGTGTAATATTCTCTACTTCATATCATAAGAAAAAAAAAAGGAAAAGGAAAATATTATATGATATTAAAGATATATATTGACGTTAAAAAAAAATAATGAACATATAAGAATATATAATTATTAATAATATATATAAACATGAGAATGTATATTATATATAATTATCAATGATAAAATCTAATATTATATATAAGAATATATATAAAGAATCTAGAGCACGTGGCAGATTGAGTGATTATTGGATGATTAGTTGACAATTAAAAATATAAACATTTGTGCTTTTTGCTAGATGACAATTAATTATGATTTTTTTCCTTAACTTTATAGTTGTATCAAAGAAAAGACTTCTGTTTATTGTTTACCTATACTTCTTATATGCTATTTGTCCTTTTCATATTATACCAAGAATGTCTTTAAATTATTAATCTTAAATCGTTTATATATTATTTATTTATTAAATTAATAAATGAATATAGGTATTTTTTAAAAAGTATAAATTATAATATCTAAATTATTTATAATTCTCAACTCCTAAACTAAAAGTAATTACGCTCAAGTGAAATCGAATTCATGGCCTCCGACATATCGAAAAAAGAGTGCCAATCAAGCTAATGTTCAATCAACGTATGAATAAAAATTCTATTTATTATACGAATGAATTAAAAATTGTTTAATTTATTGTATATTCACAAACAAATTTATTTATAATATTTTTTATAAATTTGTTTATCAATTTGTTATAAGTTCGTAATTTAATTCATTTATGAATTCATTTATTTAAAGTTTATATTTGTACTATAAAATAAACTTAAAAATATTTATGTGTACTTTTGTAATACAATTATTAATATGTTTTTTATTTTTTTTATCTAAACTATGTCATTTATAATTTATTTGTTTGGTTATTTATTTATTAATAAAGTTTTAATTATTTTCGAACATATTCAATCATATATTCATGAATATAATTGTAAATGGGTTATGATCCACTTATTTAATGTAAAACTCTATAGGTTTAGGATTGTTGAATGATTTTTTTATTAATGAATATATTCTCATTTTATATTGCTAATCTAAGCCATCTATTTTTACTCCTCCAATGATCATTAATCTGTGTAAAACTAAAAGAGTTTTTTACATTGTATAACTAGATTATATCTCATTGTAAATATATTTATTTAATATGATATGTAAATATATTATAAAAATTAAATAAATTATAATTTTAAAATTTTAATAAAAATAAATAAATAAATAAATAAATAATATATTCAGATTTCAATGTGATTTTCACCAATTTCTTGAAACAGTAGTATGATATAATTATTGTAACTGCAGACAGTGTCACATTCATCCTTTTGTATCCCCCCATTTATTTTACCCCCTTTGTCTTTGGCTTTTTTTTAATATATTAATTAATCAATTTATTTATTTTCTTCCATTGTGTCTCCTTATCACTGCAAAATCCTCTTAATTCCATATCTTGCCTTCTGCAACTGAAGCTCTGCTGCTCTGCAGACAGCAGGCCTTCACCCATAGTCCCACACCCCTCTTCTTCAACTAGGGTTTTCTCTTTAAAAACAAACTCCTATACTACAACCCTAAGCCTAACCCAATTTTTCATCTTTCTGTTGCTGTATAGTCTTTCTCATAGGGACAAAATATACCAATTATCAGAGGGTGTACTAAGAGACCTAGCCTACTCAAGGGCAATACAGTCATACAGGTATACCTACAACACACGCTCTCTATATGTCTGTGTAAGTGTTATATATGTTCTTGTTCTTTATCACCCTTTTCTTTTGGTTAAATTTGAGAAATATATGCATATATGTAAAGCATAAAAAGGGATATACATATACTATGCTGAAATCTTTGGGAAAATTTTCTGCTCTTCATGGATGGGATACATAGGAAGGTTTTGTTCCAATATTATTCCATTGTTTGACCAAAGTTTTTCATGTTAATCTATGTGATATTTTAGTGTAGATTAATATTCATAGATGGAATATTGATGGTAGTTTTCCAGTTTAGCAGAAGAAAAGAAAATGGCATCTTCAAGCTATTCAAACCCACCATGTGCAGCCTGCAAGTGTTTAAGAAGAAAATGTATGCCAGACTGTATATTTGCACCTTATTTCCCACCAGAGGAGCCCCAAAAGTTCATCAACGTTCACAAAATATTCGGTGCAAGCAATGTGAGCAAATTGCTGAATGATGTGCTTCCGCATCAGAGGGAAGATGCGGTGAATTCCCTCGCCTACGAAGCTGAGGCGAGGATGAAAGATCCTGTTTATGGCTGCGTTGGAGCTATTTCAGTCCTTCAAAGACAAGTCATGAGACTCCAAAAGGAATTGGATGCTACCAATGCCGATATAATCCGCTATGCCTACAATGAAATGCCACAGCCGCCACCGGCGACGGCATCCCAGTATGGAAGGAGACCAGCTTCTGGGCATGGAGACTCAGGGGGTGGTTCTTCTAATCAAATCTCTGGGTTTCTCTATCCTTCTCAGTGGAATAATAATGACCCTAGTGGAGACGATGAGAGTGGAAATATGTGAGGCTTTGTTAATTAATTAATTAATAAGCATATCAAGACTTGATATAATGTAAAATAATTATTATTAGGATGGGGAGAGCTCCCATTTGGCTAGCTCTAGGGTTTTCTAGTTATGGAATGTGAAGAAGGGACCATGTGTCATATAATGGGTATTTTTATGATATGCAAATTATTACCCTCATGAAATATTATTATTCTTGTATTTTTTTGTGAAAAAATATATTCCTTATAAGGTTTGATATGTGGTTACTAAAAAGTTCAATATAAATATGAAATAAACATATAAGTTTTTTCTATTAATTTGGCCGAATTTAACGTAGTATCTGTTCAAATACTTTCAACTATTTGATATTAAATGTTTATATACTCCTACATCCGTGGTGCTTGAATCCGGAATCTCAATAAATAACAATAATTCATTAACTACATGATTGCTTGATTCATATAAATAAACACATAGGTGAATGATATCGTTTTAATTTATAAAAAAGTTTATAATTTTATTAATTGTACTCTAACTTATAAGAAAAGCTTGACCTCACAAATATCACTAATCGTATTGTTTATTACTTTATTTAGGGTATGTATATTTTATCTATAGATTGTGTAATTTTTTAACACGATCTGTTTATTTTAATCTTAAAATTTAAAATCTTAAATCATAAATCTCAAATTCTTAAACTTTAAATAAAACATTCGTTATTATAATAAATAGGCTTGTGTAAGTTTTATACGACCTGTGTATAGGACATTATTTCATCTTGATATACTTTTAAAAGTTTTTGGAAAATTATGTCTATTGACTAAGGATTACTTTAATTAATATTATTACAGTAATTTAAAATTTATAAATTTAAATATTTCTGAAATCTGCCCTTCTACTTTAAATAACATGTATTTTTTATATAAATCTTAAATCAAATCCTAATCCTCTTTAAAGAGGAAGATAAGAAGATTTTTAGGAAAACGAATATGAATACTTCTAACGGATTTAGAACTCTTATAACTTAAGGAAATATAAAAAAATATAGATGAACAACTTAACTAACCGATTAAATATATTTATTATAGATAAATATACTTCCTCCAGATAATATGCATTTAATTGGTGCTCGTAACAAGTATTTTAACATAAGGGTCATTTCATATTCAGTAATATATACTATTACATGTGTGTACGAGCCCACCAATCTCTCTTATTTTTAAACATATAAAGATGCAATGAACTTGGCCAAAACATAACGGTTAAGCCACCAACTGCTTAAAGTGCACTGGTTTATTTGCAGACTAAGGGGAACTTGTTTATAATTTTGAGGGTTCTCTTTTCCTAGTTTACGTCAACCATTTCCTATACTCTCAAACATCATATTTTGCTTTCAGGGATGGACAGAAAGGATAAGTAGGGTAATCACGTATGAAAATTTAAATTATTATATATTTTAAAAAAAAATTATGTATTTTTTTATTGAAAATCTGTTGTCACTTTTAAAATTTTATAAGTTCGTCTCTTTAATATAAAATTTTGCATCTTTCCATATTTACTTTTTTTACTGATGAATTCAATTTTCTTCTTTAACACTACTATTTCATGGCAAAATCATGCTATTTCCAAATACGCTATTCGTATTTGAACCAGTGTTGGATTAGAGTACGGTCATTTTTTCTCCTTCCGGTTTTCTAGAATTTTGTCTTGACTAATTTAGTTTGACTCATGTCGTACACCTAATTTTTAATAGATGGTCAGTTAATAGAGATTTTCTGCATATACAAAATCTCAAACTCAAGATTTACTTAAACGATATCAAACTGTTTATCACATGAACTAACCTCATTAATTGTAAGAATTAGCATTTGATTGTGACGGTGATGTCCGGATAAATATGTTTAAGCAATATATCTAACTGAATAAGATAGTCTCCATTTTAAGCAACCTAAAGCATATACTATATAAGCCATTAGCTATAGGATCTATGTGTGAACAAGGGAAAATGATAAAAGTAAAAGATTGTTTGTTGTAATATTCTCTAATATTAAACGTTAAAGCTTTTTGAAAACACATCACATTTTCAAGTCAAATTTTCGACAGGTAGTAAAAGTAACACTGTAAATTTGTTGACTTCCCATTTCTCTTTTCCTTTTAAACGCCATATAATTGCACGGATTGCCATTCACTCCTGTGATGAAGCATAGGAAAAACTATTGTAAAATTCCGGAACACTGTCGCTATCTGGAAGAGAGAGAGAGAGAAGGTACAGGTACCTAGCGTTGTGGGAAGAATAAAGGGATTGTTTTCCCATGTGGAGGTACTTGAACCACAAGAAAAAATCAAATTGCATGAAGGATTTTTCAAGTTTTGATTAATTGATTTTGCTGGTTATTTACATATTCAAATCATCAATGGAACACTCAAAGATCCTCTCTGTCTTCGAAGGAGAGGAGCAGGGCAGCGCAAAGTCGGAAGAAAAAGGTTGATTGATGATGGTGGTCAGGGTCCCAAAAGCTCGTCTATATCCTTACCCAGTATTATACATCTTTCATTTTCAAATTAGCACTTGCAAGGGCCACCACCACTCCACCGCCCAATACGGGGAAAAAACACACAACCAAAGCCCTCCACAGCTCCAAAAACAAACACACGTCTATTACACTTGCCCAATGCTTTTGATTGATTGATTGGATGGACTTGACCTTCCTTTCGATTTCAGTGGTGCAATTAACAACGCCTCGAGTAAATTCTACGGTACGACACTTTAATAAACGGTTAAAAAAACGTTATCGATTTTGTTATTATTTAAATAATAAAATGAATAAAAAATTACTTAAAACATTATTATTTTTATCTAAAACATCAATGTTTTTTTATATTTTCGGTAAAGTGCCCAACAATAACAAAACCAGTAGCACTTTACCAGATATATAATCAAGCTCGGTAAAACGCCTAATAATAACAAAACTGATAGAAATAATAATGTTTTCTGTAATTTTTTACCGGTTTTGTTATTTAAATAATAACAAAACCGGTAGCGCCTTTTTTAGCTATATATTAAGACTATCGCACGTGATCATTTTCCTGAGGCTTGCATTTTACCATTGCTTCCAAACTAAGCCGTTTGGATTAACAACCGGTCACAAGACCAGTTTGATTTGAGGTAGAAAATAAACAAAATCGTTTGGTTATAGATGATTCATCTCTTCTAGTTTGAACTGAGAGTCACAGCCAGTAAAAGAAAAGTTATTGATCAATGTTGACTTTTTTGTTCCTATGATAAGGTAAATGAAGGTGAAGAGGTCTCCTCTAGGTCAATGTGGTAAATGGAACTAGTGTAAGGCATAAGATTATCATCAGTACCCGTAGGTTAGCTGAATATAGTTAGGTGGTGATGAATTTGACTTTAGCAAGTCACTTGAACCTATTAGAGGTCATGTGAATAAATCGCGATTTCCCGAGATTTTAGATCTTTAGAATCTTCCTTCTGGAGACGTCCTCTTTTTGTCTTTTAGAGCTCTCGTAGAATTTAAAGTTTTTTTTTCCTTTCTCTAGAGATGCTCTTTATGGATCTTGCCAATGGAGATGTTCCAACTCATGAGGCATTGAGATACAACAACGGTGATAACACGCGGAGGATATTTGGTTGAGGTACAACATTTATTCCCCTTAGTCGAGGGAATGTCATAAAGTGGCTTTACCAGAGACTTTATTGTTACATCATTATAGATTTATATCATTTTTTGGGGACTGTCCCAATGCTTATTCTTATCGCATCAATTGTTTGTGGGAATAAATTGGATGAGTCAGTTATTAGGGGCTCGCCCCTTTTAATTTGGACGAAGAGTCACAATTAGTGTTTGGATGAAAATTATCAAGTAATTTTGATGATATTAATATCAAGAAGAGTCTAAAGAAAAAAATGATTTTACCTATTCGAGAGAGAGAAAGAGAGAATAAGGGTGAATAAGGGATTTGCCTGTGTGTCTCCCTACGACTATTGTGATTGCAAGGCACAAATTACTACCCTTGATAGTCACTCGCCCTTTTTCTATTTAATGGTGAATTAGTGTAATATCCCAAAATCGAGGCTAGTAATTAAAATGGAAATTTTAAAATTTTGAGGTTTGATTTTGAAAGATTAAAAAGTTTAGGGACTAAATTGGTAATATTTAATGGATGATTGTTTAGTAAATATTAAATGAAGTAAGGGGTAAAATGGTCTTTTCTAAGGAAGGATTTTATATTTCCCTTTATATAGGAGAGCAACACGTGGAAATGGAGAGAAATGAAAGAAAATTCTGGAGCTTGGGTTTTCTTCTTCCTCTTCTCTTCCTGTGGCTCCATTGTTAAGGTAAGTTGGTCTTAATTTGGTTAATTCTTTCATTTTAAAGTTGGTTTTAATTCTTGGAGTGATGGAAAAGCTTAAGAAAAGCTTAAAACTCAAATAGGATTAAGTTATGTAAGATTGAAGTTAAAGAGTTTTTAAAGGAATTATTGAGATAGAGTTAATAAATAAGTTTTGAAGTGAAATTTGACTTGTCAATGATCTAACTAAGAAATTCGAAGTGTCAGAAACAAATTTAGAACATGTTGATTTAGTGGCTTGATTATTGAATTCAAGTGTGTATGTAGGATACTGGAAATTAGGATGAATTAAAGTGATATAAGTTGATTTGAATAAGTATAGTTAAGTCTTAAGGGTTAAACGGAGGTTATAGAAGCAAAATTAAGTAAGTTTGGTATGATTTTTGGGCTTAAAAAGGAAATTCTGGACAAGACTATCGGTACTGTTGAGTGGGTACCGATACTACAAGGCCATTTTCGAGGATATGATGTAAGGGGTATCGGTACCTGTATGAACAATATCAATACCCTATAGAAGAGGTACCGATACCTATGTGGAGGGTATCGATACAGGGGGAACTTCGAAGCTAATTTTGGTATCGGTACCTGGATAGGGTATCAGTACCTTAGCTTAGAGGTATCGATACCCTAAGGGTGGTACTGATACCACTTAAGTTGGAAAGTTGAAATTGGGGTTTTAATTAGTTTACATTGATATGAATTGGACAAGTCGACAAGAAATAGTCATCGAGGAAAAGAGATAAGGGATCGATATTGACTAGTGAGGCCAGGTGAGTGCATATTAGATAGTATATGATGTTTGATGGAAATAAGACTTGCACAAGTCTATTTCCTATAGT